AGACAATAGTTCACCTTTAATATGGCTTAAAAACGACAGTTCACCCTTAATCTGGCTTTTTATTTCGTTGAAGGAGAAGCAGAGATATCATTTAATTAGTTAGTGCTTTTTTTTCCGGTAGATGATCATATTTATAATATACAGTGAGCAGCCGTTCAGCGGCGTAAGGACATGTATGGATACCGCAATGTATTTTCGATGGGTTAGTGCAGAATATTATCCATTTAGCTCAACATAATCACCTGAACTAGAGTTATATAACTAGTAGATACAATAGGTGCAGTGGAAAATCATTGAAAAGCATGGTTCAAACAGTAAATGTAAGTTTTGAACAGAAATCCAATAAGCAACAGAAAACAAACAATGAATTACTGTTGCTAACATATTGTTGATTTAGAACATCTGGTGAATACTTTAGAACGGCGCACAATGCATTAGCAAAGGCAATAGAACCATGTCCCTAACAATTCATGTAATGTAGCGATGTACTTCTTTACCTGAGTTTTAGACTTTGGATTCTTGACAGCCTGTCTCCGGGCTCTCTCTTGGAAAAGTAATCGGGTATTACGCTGCGAAGCACGTTAAACGCTTCCTCAGACGCGTCTGCCTTTTGCGCTCTCTTTCTCGGTTCAGATCTCTTCGATTGGTCAATGACATTCCCGAGGAGCGGTGACGTTTGGAATACAGGTTGTTCATAGTTTCCTTAGTCTTTTGTTCAAATTCCTCCATACTTTGTCTGTGTAGCAGTGTGTCCCAAGAGGCAGGACAGTCGGGGAAGGGCAAGCAATTTTGTAGCAGCACTTGACTGTTGTATATTTGTTCCATGGGTTTATTCACTTGTACTGATACTTCGTCGGGAATATACGTTTGGTTGAACTGCATCTGCAGGGAATTAAGAAGGGATCAGTAAATTAATCGACAATGCCCAGTGCGAGTCAAAAATAAAAGTGACGGGGATGAGTTTCGGATAATTGTAAATGACCCTTGAAAAGCTACCAAAATGTCATTCGTAGACCCAGAAGGCACCGAGATTAAGGGCGACTTGTCTTAGTATTAACACCTTAAGCAATAAGCGAAACCGAGGCACAAACTTTAATCCTCAAAAGAAACGACGACTACCCTCCTCGCTGTTACGTAACTGATAGGGAGTTCCCATCCCCTTTCCCACAGCTCTGAGGCTATGATGAAAAGCCCCAGAGAAACTCCAGACAAGCCTTTTTTCAGGTTTCTCTATGTCTGTAAAACGCTGAGTCGAAACTGGCAGGAAAATTCATTGACAAACGCAAGAAAAATTCCAAATAAACCCGCGGACATTAAAATATTTGTGTCCTAAGTTGGCAGTTACCACGTGTTTCACCAGAAACAACAGCTGCAGTAGAGTGCGGCAAAGTGAAGAATGTTTCAGTGCAATTTCTAAAAGGGCCAGTACTGTTGGATGAGATAGTTATAACATAGCGCGTGCGCTCGTCGCACCTAATTTCTATTGAGCCATCATGAAAACAATCCCTATTCACGAACGGCCTGTGTAAATAACATGACGTGTGTAGGTTCATTTTAGCTGCAACATTTCCGTGCAGTTAAGACGCGAGTTCCTTTTGTTAAAGTTTCCGCAATGTGAACATCATTCTGAACAATCCAAACCCTACTTTGAGTCTTTGACTTTTGCCAAGCTAAGATGGTTATTAAAACTTGAGTATTTTGACTTTGTTTGCCCACATTTCCATTGTGTATTTCTGAATTTGTTTTCGTATATTTTCATCAAGTCGAAGAAGCGAATGTTTCATTGAGAAGTTAGGAACCAGATAAACGTTTCGTCGTTCTGAACTGTTGCTCGACTGATTGTGGCGTGTTTTTAACCAGCCAATAGGATCCTTTGTTTTCCTTCACCGTGCATTGTGAGAACTTTGTAGTTAATCACAAAAAAACAAAACAAAACAAAACAAAAAAAAAACATGTTCTAGCGTTCAATATGTTGTCCCTATGTTATAAAAGAGTTTGTTCACGCTTTCATTAGCTGTGCGTATATCGAGTTGTGGATGCACTTGGGTAGTTTGGAGAGCACTCCAGAAGCTAGAGTTACTGTCGGCTGCACCTCTAAAAACTCTTGCGCCTCCCTCGTGCTAGTTCTCGAAACTTCCCGCGTGCATCCATAATTCGATGTACGCACGCTAAGCAGCAACCAATTCTTTAATGTGCCCTGAACATTACAAAGAGTCGTGTTTTATCCTGTATCTTACAAGAAAGCAACGATTATGAATCCGGATTATACTTGTTTTGTAATTAAATCCGCGTGGAGAATGGATTCTTCTGGTTCATATAACTCTTCCGATATTCTCTTAAACAACAAAAAGGCTGGACCTCAAAAGATGGTGTCTTCAGAGTAAAACTGGATACCATTGACTTCAACTGTGACAAAATTTTACTTGGGGCTACCACGAGTTAACTAATCTTCCCATGCTGTGACTGATCTTCCATGTCAATTTGTGATGGAATCTTGACATATTTGTCAATCAACATTACCAAGCCGCACCATTCAGGAGCTTCGTTTCTTTGGTCTGCTGACAAATATCAAGACTGTGACTATTTATTATTATCTTCTTTGTCGCTTGATATACGCCAACTGCAATAATATAGTTAAATGTGCGAATTTGAACGCACGATAGCGATACATGCGCTATATGTTTTCTCACAAAGGATCTTGCGTAGCCTGCGCGGCAAGCGTTTCCAGACGAAATACGAGCTTTTTCTGTGCTTTGGCGGCTGGACGAGAT